GTATTGGCAAACTTATCTAGGCATTGGTTTTATTCCAATTATGTAGTAATATTGAAATTATGTTAATTAATGGACTTCAACCAAAGGTAATCAGAGTATCTTGCTGTAACTACGTAACACAGAGTATAGATTTATTATGTCACAGAATACATTGAGTTTGAATGTTGCTGAATAAAGAGTTAACTATCTGGCAGAGGAAGATTGAATTCTTACGTTTTAACCTCTTGGACATGTTGTGATCTACATACCTCCAAATCTCCTTCTTCCCTTGGGGATTGATCTACAGCTCTTGATAACCCTCAGGGCCTTGATCACATGCTAGGATGTAAACATTGAGTGTTGGCATGTAAGACACTTAGCATGGCTCAGACAGTGTATATCTTACCTGATATTCATACACATCCTTTATCAAGATTCTTTTCCAACACATTGGAGTTGCTGGCAGGTCTAACATTTATTGCCCTTCCTTTGTTGCCCTTGAGAAGTTGGTGGTGGGCCTTCATCTTGAATCTCTATCGTCTGTGTGGTGGATGTACTCACTTGGTTCGGTTAAGCTGTGAGTTCTGGGATTTTGACACAGTGACAGTGAAGGAACACTCATATATGTTCAATACAGGTGGCATGAGATGTCAGAGGACACCATGAGGTAACAGTGGTCTTGTGCACATATTGTCCCTGTCCTTTTAGCTTATGGAAAGGTTCTGGCTTTGAGAGATGCTACCAAGGCAGTACTTGGTGAGACATTGTGAATGATACATTCTTAGCCAGAGTGCACTATTGACAAGGGAAGGAATGCTTACAATGGTGCATGAACTACCTATTTAACAGACTGCATTGCCTGGAAGGTAGCTTCTGGAATGTCCTTGGAACTGCACACATCCAGGTCAGTGGGTACTAAAAAAGATAGAAAGGCCAAGAGAAGGAAAGAACCCACAGAAATAAAGGACCTTTCACAACTTCCGTTTGCCCCAAAGTGAACAATTTCACTTTTAGTCACTTTTCTGATACAAGAAATGCAGCAGTTAATTTGCACACAGAATGATCCCCGATAATATTTTTGTTTTGATATTGTTGGAAAGATAATCATTGACTTAGACATCGGGAAAAAAATCTCAGTCATGTTTAAAAAAAGGTGAAGTGGTCCTTGGTGTCACCTAAGAGGTCTGACCCTCATTAGGTCTAAGGTTAACATCTTATTTGAAAGAATGTTTGACGATGCAGCACCCCTTCGTCACTGCACTGTTGGAGTGCTAACCTAAACTATCTAAGTCTCTGGAGTGGGATTTGAACCTATGACACCCTGACTCAGAGGTGAGAGAGCGACATGAGTAGCAAAACTGTCTGATGCTGCCTCCTCTCGATTTGAATATACTGAATCACAATTGATTCACATGGTCCAAAATCCAAATGAGTGATGGTATAGTTTCACACTTTATGAGTCTACTAACTGATCCAAAGGGGGACAAATCTCTGCTTTTCCCCAGAGTTAGGTGTCAGGAACAGTATTTGTATATGTTTGAATGGGTTACTCCAAATACCAGACATTGCCTGGGAGCAGAATCTGTGCAGAAAGGAGACTGCTCATAAGCAAATTAACCGAAAACCAAAAAAAAAAGTTTCAGAAGCAAATCATACCTTCAGTTATGAAGACTACTTACTTGGTCTCTCTGGATTTCTCTCTAGATCTTCTAACCTGATTTTCTTACCAAATCCTGTTAGCTGGAATATTGTCATTTTCTTTTTTTTTAAGCAATCCTTCTTTTGGAAAGAATAAACAAGTGCTAATAAAAGTGGGACTTCTCATTAATTATTTTGAGAAAACCTTTGTGTGCGACTTCCTGCTTTTGCCAATGTATCATTGCAACTCAAAGACATTAATTGTATCTACATTAGGGGGTTGAATGGGGTGCGGCAGAAGTAAGAAGGCACTCCTTAATTGCTTTGTTCTTTTTTAAATATAGTAATAGACTAATAATGTTTAAATATCCCACTTTCCAACAATCCTTTAATCTGGTGACAAGCTTTGAGAGTAATAGCTTGCTCTGTAATTTAACTCATTTTGAATATCTATCAGAAGAAATAAATACATAGTTCAATACAGTCAGCTCTAAGCTGGGCTGGGTAGCTCTAGGAATGTCAAATTCCTGGGATAGGCCAGCTCTGGGATACCTGGGTGAGTCTAGGATAGAACCACTTTGGAATACTAGGACAATCCAAGAATTGTGTCATTCTCATAATGGAATTTACTGGGTCAGCACTAAATGCTGATTTAGTACCTGTGCTGTTTTATGCTGGCAGTTTGAAAAGCGACTCTTTAGTCAATGCTTGTCTTAAACACACAGGTCCAGAAGCAGCAGCAGGAAGACCCCTTCCCCTGCCTCCAAAGCTGCTTAGATGCATTGGCATCCAATTTGCAGGTTTGTTGCTAATGACTGTCAACTTGCTCTGTTTCAGCTCGTGGACATGCTGTGCATTTGCAGAAATTTCTGGAAACTGCTGAAGACAGCAGTGAGCGGTGCTGCATGAGAGGAAGGCAGTGGCTGATACTGCTGTGTGTGTGCCTCTTCTGAGCAGACCAGGACTGGGGGGCATTTGTGCAGACTCCCTTGAACAGCAGTGTGACAGCAAGATGGTGCAGACACAACAATGAGGCAGGCAAGCGACTCGTAGAGGGAAGGGACAATCCCTTGTGTCTTGCAAGAGCTTTGTTTTTAATAAGTAATTTAAGTCAGGAGCAATATTCTCTGCCTCTGATCCCTGAAGAAGGGGCTCAGTGAACATGAATAGCAGACATGCAATCCCCAGTCCATGAAGGGGCGGTATTGCTGGTGCTGGTAAAATTGATTTTCGCCCCCTTTCCGGACCTGAACAAGGAGACAGCTACAGTCTCACACAGGACACCATCCACTGCAGTGCAGAGAGGTGATCAAGGCTCTGCAATTTAGGAGGAGGAGACTTCATTATGCTCTTTATAGTAGAAAGCAGGTGAAGTGTGCACCTGATTTTGGCAGAGTAGTCAATGTTGCCATGGAACAGGGTGCCATCGACTGCACAAAAGTGAAATTGCGGCTGTCACTTTTCAATGCTGAGATGTTCTGCGACCACAAAGCATGCCATATCTATCGTGATACAGAACAAGCCTCAACATATCATCCAGCTTGGCAGCGCCCACTAACCTGCCACCAGCCATAATGGGTTCAACTTGTGCCAGTCACAACCTTTTAGTCACCGTGTCAAACCAGAAAGCGCTCAACAATGCCTCATGGTAACTCCCCTTCTGCACTCTCACTCCCTGTCAGTCAAAACTCATAGAATGAGGGCCAAGCCTTCATGAGAAACCTCCTTGAGAAGACGGTTGAGGTCCTAAAGCCTTTGGCAATTTCAGTGCTCACCAGGATGGGAATCCCATTTGTTGGGTTCTGCTTCTTTCTTCACGAATAGGCACTCGGAGGGCTTGAGGACACAGCCCTTGCTACCATGAATTTGGCAGCCACTTCTGGAGGATGAAGAGATGGCACATTCACATTCAGGATGGACTGTCCACGAGTGCCTATCGACACAACCCAGGTCCACCGAGTCCGAAACTCCCACATTTTACCGTCCTCGGTCGTGCACCATCACAGCATCCTTTTAGCTATAGTCCTGAAACAATGGCCGTCATGAAATAAACACTATGCACCAACTTTGTCCAACAAAGCAAGCAATAATCCATGCAAAACGTAACCCATCGCTGTTGTACATCTTTTTGGTGCCTGTTGTGTGGGTGTCTTTGCCCTGCTGGTGCCCCTCTACAACACTGCACAGGTAACTGTAGAACAGCTGACAGAAGGCTGCTGACTGGTGGAGATTGGCAGATGGGCATTGGTTCCCCCAAAGCAGCTCCTGAAGACCTAGCTTCAGAATGCAGGCTGGCAACAGTAGGGGCACTAACTAAGACAGTAGGCACCAACTTTTTTGATCCATGGAGGGGCTACCATTCAGCAATCATAGCAATCTGCTGGAGCTTGCTGAGAGGCTGTGAGAGCCTTAACCTCACCTCAGAGCACTCGTACCTGCTGTCAGACTGGCAGGAGTCCAAGCCTACACTGCACCAAGCTGATGCATGAACCTGTACCACCACTCTGACATTGGACGGTTTCCACACGTGTTTTAATAGAAACTGAGGGATCAGCCATCCAATGTCGTGTCAACATCCGGTCCCCAGTTTCTCTCACGGAGTCAACCAGCAGTTCCATGCAGTAAAGAATGGGCTCCAAGCTCTGCAATGAAGGTGGGCCAGGACTCCTCTGTGCCCCTTGGCTTAGACAGCAGGCTTTCCGAGAGGCTTACAGCTGCACCCAGCTTTAGTGTAGATAGCCACCAGCTTTTTTCTGAATATCACCCCCACTGGAGTCCTTGCCTGAATCCGTCACCTCGCCCTCTAGCGAACTGACACATTGCCCCATGCACTTGAGCCATTGACTCACCACCTGCAGATCCCATCTCTATGTCACCCTCTAAACTGGGCTTGTGCCAGCATCTGAGATGGTAGCTGCAAGCACCAGATTAAGTAATGACAGGTGTTCTTCCTCAGTCTTTTCTCAATCCAGAACATCAACCTCCTAGTGCCTAGGTAGAATCTAAAAACCCGTAGACACACCGGGCAGTGTGTGTATGTGTGTGTGTGAGAGAGAGAGAGAGAGAGAGTGTGAGTGTCTCTCTCTCTCTGTTTGTGCGTGTGTCTGTATGTGTGTCTGTCTGTGTATGTGCGTGTGCCTGTGTGCGTGTATCTGTGTGTCTGCCTGTGTTTGTACACGTGTGCGCACGCGCATATCGGTGTGTGTGCACACATGTGCGCGTATCTGTGTGTGTGTGTGCGTGCACGTGCGTGCCTCTGTGTGTGTGTGTGTGTGTTTGAGGGTGGGAAATCAGAGGAAGCACACGTACACAGTTAAGCCATCAGTCCCTTGTGCAATCTCACAGACTGGAATCACAATGAAGGGAGCTGGGAGAAAGGTGCATTAAGTAGGAATAAACTGCCATACCCTGGTTTTAACCTCACTCTGGCCAGTGCCTGACTGGCCACAGGCCCTTTCCATGACGGCCAGAACTGTCTCTGTCATGCAGCCTGGCCCCTGCTGGTTGGCTGCTTCTGCTGCCACCTTCTGTGCATCAACTAGTAATGCAAGAGCAAGTCTAAATTTGTCAGAGAAACTGGCAGACAGAAAGCAGTTGTAAGAAAAAGCTGACAGTGTGCACAAGTTGCAAGGTGTCAGCAGTGATTGATAGGTTATCGGTAGGTGAGCAATTAAGGTTGTGGGGCACTCAGCAGGACGTGAGGTTCAAGATGCACCCACTGACCTTGACCACCTGTATGAAGCCAATGCAACTCTTTTGACATTGCATTCAGGTCCTAGACTCCTTGCATTGACCACAATGACTGACCAGTCCAACTGCTTTTGTAGCATCTTCCTGGTGATATTCTGCTGATGAAATAGGACCTCTCTCCTTGTCCTATACCAAATCCTCCAGTGCAGCACCTGAAAACCTTGGGTCACGTTCTCTGGTATACTGTACCACTTCAATAGGTACTTCCTGGTCTTCAACTCCAGCACTCGTCCCTGCTGCAGCTAGCAAGCATGTTGTCTTTTCAAAGATGGCATCTAGTTTAAAGCAGAGTAGGTCAATCTTAAGAGACATTGACCTGGGCCTCCTGCTGCATGTAGCCACCCAGCAGGGACTTCACTGTTGAGCTGAACAGCACAATCATTATAACTGGCATCACTTTAAGTGAGTGTAGGTTATCACACTTTGTCATTCTTTTTATTCATTCAGAAGAGGACAGTGTCCCTGGCTAGGCCAGTATTTATTGCCCAGAGGGGACAGGAGTCAACCACATTATTGGAGTCACATGTAGGTCAGACCAGGCAAAGACAGCAGATTCCCTTCCGTCAAGGACGTTAGTGAACCAGACGGGCTCCCCCCTCCCCGATGATCAGCAATGGATTTGTGATCATCATTAGACTCTTAATTCCAGATATTTGTCAAATTCAAATCCACCATCTGCCATGGTAGGATTTGAATCCCGATCCCCAGAACATGATCTGGGTCTCTGGGTTAACAGTCCAGCGATAGTACCACTAGGCCATCACCTCCTTCCACCAAGTACCTGCAGCTAGTTTCAGTGACTATTTTCTCTTGCCTCCAGAATGCTCGAAATATGTGGTGGGTTAGACATGCCCCACCAAGAGGGGAAAGAACTGCAAAAATGTACAGTAAAACTTGGAAATGAACATCCTGGTCATAATGGAGGTCCATTTTCAGGCATACAAGAAAACCAGTTGTGCTATTTCCAGTTTTTAATGGCTTCCCTAGAGGAAAAGTGAACAGGAAAGCTCCAATTCTCTCTCTGAACTACTGAGTGTTTCCAGCCTTCTCAGTTTTTATTTATAATCAGGTCAAGCTGTGGAGAGACCAGTTCATCTCTCAGAGGGAATAATAAGACCCAATATTGTTCACTTACAATACACACCAGCAGTATGGGAATACTGCAACTAATGAATACTGCCTCCTACTGGTCAGAGAACATTGGACTAAGGGAACACAACATGATACCCATTTCAACTCACTATGCTAAGTCAAGGAGGAGAGAGAAAAAATAACAAAACAAACCCAGGCTGGTGTCCAGCTCAGATCACTTCGGGAACTGTGTGACTATATGGAGGCTGCTCCAAAAATGGTTCGAATTCAAGTACAGACTTAGATCAACACCTATTACAACCTGACACTATTGGGTCAGTTAGAATTGAAAGCTGCAAGTTAGAGCAATACATTCGGGGTATATTTGAAAGCTAATTTGTTCAGTAGGATCACAAAGATTGTTGTAAAATAAATAGTGTGCTTCATCATCAATTCGGGGCTGCGAACATTGAAGTTAAGTCTTAGCTGAACAATTAGTTATCAGTCAGATATTTGACACATAGTAACCAGAAGTATTGTGACTATCTCTTGGGAATAGGGAAACTAATTACAGTTTTACTAGACCCACAATACATCTCCTAATGCAATGCAAGCTGCAACAGGAAATCCTCTCTGCAATGGGTAAAATGACAGCATTAAGCAAAGCCGAAAGTGTCCCTGTGTTAGATGGAAGGCCCATGCTGAATTACCGAATCTCAACCAGGGGCAATGTTGATCTGTGACGTAAAGCTAGTAATTCTGGGTTTTAAGCAGGATAGAAAATGGAAGTTAAAAGAACCAGAAGATTCCTTATTTAATCAAGAGAATGAAGCAAAACACTACCACCTAGCTTTTAAGTTGACCCTTACAAAGTTTTTTTTAAACCAACCTTTTCAGCTTGTCTTTACTTGTTGAAGTCTCCCTTCAAAATGTGAATACATAACTCAGTCAAACCGGGGTTGCATCCCCTGCTTGTTGATTCTGGCCTTACCAATTACATTCCTATTTTCTCCCAGTCTGAAAGAATTAACTCATTCATTGGTTTCTGTCAGATCAGGTAGAAAAGCAATGAAAGTCCTTTCCTATTCCTGGATCTCTAAATCTCTCCCTTCTGTGATCAAAGCAAATCTGAATGCCTGGCCTAGCAACAGCAGAAGCCTCTTTCTTGAAGATGCATGGTCAATAGTTAACACACTCAAACTTAGTCTGTGCTTGTACACTGTTCTAGGTATCCAGGATTCCCATCAGAAATTGAAAGTATGTTTCTTTACATAAATAAATAAGGGACTAACAGCCATATGATGCCTCCGTCTGCATTATGAAAAACTAGGACGACATGGATGCATAGATGCAGCCTGTATGGGACAGCTGCACACCACAACCAACACATTAATAAGCATCTAAAAGATACTTACACGAACGAGGAGCTGAAAGAAGCAGGAATGCTTGGGGATCAGCACGTTGATACTGACCCACTGCCCACTCCCTTCCCAAGTTCAAGCCTACACAAGTCCACTTTCCACTCGTCACAGCTTAGTGCTGGTACAGCAGCACTTAAATAATTGCACCAGACACGAGGAACATTTTCTAGTGAGCATTTATTTGCCTCTTCTGATAGACACATTGTACACTTGGCATTGCAGGCTTTGCAGAAACCCAAATGCAGATTAATATCTCAATAGCCAGCTGAATTCAGTTTAGATGTACAAAACTGTGGAACCATAGCTCAAATCCAAAGTAAAGAAAATTCTCTGAATGTGGTTTTATGAATTAGCTGTGAATGCTGCACGTGTCATCACCTTAAATAGAAACATGTCGACTCCATCCCATTACATTCACTAGATTGGAAGATTTGTCTTAGTTGTTTATCAAGGGTGATGATGTCAGAGAAAATGGTCACAGTGATGATGCTCATGCGGCAGTATCATATTCTACCTCAATGGCCACCCTGGTGAAGCCATCTGTTGTTGCACTATACAGACCCAGGAGTCCCAGTTTTACCTCCTGCTCTGGACTGAGTCATCTAACGCTCTGAGATCTTTCCATTTTTAGCTAATGCTATGAGGTTATAAATGTTTATTAGGTCTAGTGAGGAGGGAATGGCTCCATTTAGAATGAGTAGATGTGGAAAAATGGAGTGACAAACATGTTTAAGCTGCACTGAGATGCAAACCATTACTAAATGGCCAATATTCACCCTCTGAGCATGCATATGAATAGTGGACACTTTGATGTTACAGAGATCTGCTTCTCCAAGTCAAATGAACTCAAGCACAGACTCATTGAAAGAGAAAAACAAAAACTTATGCATCAAAGAGTAAGGGTTTATAATAAAACTTTAAAGCGTGTCTATCCATAATATAGTTGGAAAAGCGTAAATAAAATTCTTTAATAAAGCTACAGAAAGGCAAAGTGACCGACAGACTTGAAATGTGATCTGCCCTTTAGTTGTTTAGCCTGATCTCAATTGCTCATGGGTCCATCATTATCACCGTTGTACCTTGCCACTTAAACTGCTCCACCATATTTAATCTCCTTCATCATGTTCTTTGGATTTTAAAATGGCTTAATGAGTTGTTGCTGATCAATCAGTTACATAACCTTTTACAAATTCACAATCCCAAAAGTGAGCAACTATTGAGGCCCATAATATGGTGAAGACAACATTTCAGTATGATAACAAGAGTGCTAAATAGCAGGAGTATTAGCAAGAGTAAACTCGGCAGCAAAAAGTATTGGTTATTAAAACAAACACTAAGAAGAAAGACTTGGTGTTGATTTGCTAATTGACTTTCGATGTATGGAGATATGCTTTTTCTTTCAGATTCCCTTGCTGGATTTCAAGATTGAAAAAAGGCCATTTGTTCCATTTGGACCATTGATCCTCTACCTCTATAAAAGAGTTCTCCAACTATTCCTGCTCCCCTGCCCTTTCTCACTTTTTAAACAATCTCTTCAAATATATATCAAATTCCTTTTTGACAATTATCAGGTAAACACATGTCAAATTGGCTCAATAGTAGCACTGTCCCTTCTCGATTTAGACATTTGTGTGCTCAAATCTCATTTCAACATTTGAACATACATTCAAGGCAATACTTCAGTGCAGTACTGAGTTACCAAGACCCCAATTATCCATTCTGAGGATGAACAAGATTGCAAGGCTCTTTAACAATCCTTTTGATCAGGATGTGAGCTAGAGCAATACGATTCTTTAGCTTTGTGTTATGGTCAACAATTTCAACCTCTCCTTGTTAGCAATAGTGGAGTAGCAGGAGAAAATACAGCCTCACTATTAAACTCCATTAGTAACAGTCCGTAGTTACCAAATGACACTGCCCTTCAATTAATACCCAGAAATACTAGCCCTTCTTAGCTGCTTTAAGACACAACCTATTGCTGGTATTCATTAAAATTTGTAACCCTGATACACTCTAAATTATAGGTTACCTTCTTCCACAACAACTACTTGCATTTATTGGTAATTTTAATGTGGCAAAACATCCCAAGGTATATCACAGGAATATTATCAATCAAAAATTAATGCTAAGCCACTTAAATGGGATATTAGGACAATCGATGAAAAGTTTGGTCTAAAAGGAAAGTATTAAGCATTACCTTACAAGGAGAAGAGACAGGTGAAGCAACTGAAAGTTTAGAGAAGGAATTCCAGAGTTCAAGGCCTAAGAAACTGAAGGTATGGCTGAATACTTAAAA